TATGCTATATTGCTGGGAAGAATGTGCTATTGCTATCTAAGTCTGAAAAGTAAGGGCTGATGGAAGAGAACTTTAAAGGCTAGACTGCTTCACGCTGATGTGCCTCTTGCTCATTCTGACCTGTTTATTTAAAAATTAAGAAGTAAAGGTGTGAAATAGGGAACATTGTGCAATCAAGCTGAAAAGAAATACCATAACATCTGTTTCCAAGTGCTTGCGTAGCAAAGAAGGGAGCTGAAAAGCTCTAAGACAGACAAAGGGATGTTCATGTGCAGTGTTGAAAGAAATCACAATTTTCAAAATGATTAGACATAATTTGTATTGACTCCTCATGGACTGACAAAAATTAGAGCGTTTCATAGAGTCGAATTTTCTCCCCACAACCTTGCACTGTTCAGCTTTCTAATGGGGACACAGGAACTTTAAGGACTGCTGGTGAGAGTATAGACTCACACAGCCAGTTGAGGGATTCATTCCCAATTCGTTACTACTGCCATCAGTCAATTCAGCTGCGGGGTACAAGTACCCAGGAAATTTTCACAGGAGCCTTGAAGGGGACCTCTACGGAGATGCTCTTCAAAATGTGCACTATGGTGGCATGGTGTTGTGAAACAAATTTTAATCAGTATAGTCCATAAAGCATGTAGGGTTCAGAAGCAATAGGTTGGTATTCACATAGTAACATAAAGAGATCTTTAAAAAAACATAGTGCCATTTTTTTAAAAGTAAGACAATATTGAGAGTTATATCACAACATCATTTATATTAATTAGCACTTCATGCCATATACATTTTCCAGGAATATCCAGGAACTAGAGGATGGTTATCAAGTACAATGAAAAGGTTACCTATGGCAGTGGGAAGTGGAAATGGAGTTTGGGTATAAAGTGGGAGCTGTAAATTTAAGGAAATAAATAACCAAAACAAGATAAGGGCTTCATTTGAACCAATCATGCTGTGGGCCATGAAATCAAAAGTGTGATTAATTAGTTCTTTATCCACCTTTTATAAGTAAAGTTCAAAAAAATTCCATGCCAACGATTAAATGAGAAAACAGCAACAACAAAATCCAAAAGCAAGTAGATAAAAATTCTCGTGAAATTTCAGATTGTTCATTATGGCTGGAACAAAGAGAGATTGGAAGTAGTTTGAACATAGGCTATTGGAAAGAAAATAATATCTAACTTCTAATGATGGTTTATATGTTCCAGGTAGTTCTAAGCATTTATAAGAATTAATTAGTGTAATCCTCACAGGAAACCTTTGGGATAGACCTTATTATTCTCCCCATTTTACAGATGAAGAAGATAAGTCACAGAGAGGCAAAGTGACTCTCCACACTCAGCTTCAAGGTGACACAACCAGGACTTGAACCCAGAGGGTCAAGTTCTGGAGCCCTCACTCTGAACCAACTGCCGTGCTGTGGTAGAAGTTCATCTGGGGAGTGTGTGGATCAGGGGTCACTTCCATGCAAGATCAGAAATACTACCAGCATCCCAACTGGCGGTGAGGAGCTCTTGGAGGGATCCACTCACGCGTTTATCCACAGACTTCAGTTTGCACAGTTGTTATTGGAAGCCGCAGATGCTGGAACATAAAGAAAGGCCGATTACCCCCAAAGGCAAAGAAAATATATACTACTTACAAAGAAAACTGTATTACAATAAACAGAAGAAAAATTTAAAATCTTCCATTTAATGACCATAATGAAATTCAAGAAGAAAGTTAAAAAGGAATTAAAGCAAATATCATACTAAATATTTCCCCTAAAGTCATTAAGACCATAACATCTTGCATGATACAAAGAATTTGCAATCCTTATAATTTTTCAAAAAAATTCAAACATATTTGAAAATAATGAGATTAAAAAATATCTAAAATGAGGGAAAAAACAATAAAAAGTAAAATATTAGGTGAAGTGATATCCAAAAGAAAATACAATTGCAAAAAGTATGTATTGTAAAAAATACATTGTAAAAAATAAAATGGAAATAATTTTTCAAGGTAGTGGAAAGACATGCATATTTTCCTAAAGGCTCTTTTAAGTACCAAATATAATGACAAGGAAATATAAAAAATAATATGTTTGAAATTAAAGGATAAAAGAAAGTCTATAAAGAATCAAGTTGACAGGACAGGAATGGGGTAGTTCAGGAGGAAGTAAACAGTTTGTAATGGAATAAAAATCAGCCTAATATCTTTGAGGTGGAATTGAAAAAGCAATTTGCTCAATTTCCTTTAGAGACACCTAACAAAATAGACAAAATTAAAGAAGAATGCTGAAGAAAATCTATTTTCAATAAAACTAGATTATGATTTAACCCCATACCATGCTTTGATTCTTACAAAGTAGAAGGTCAAAAGAGCACCCCAAATAACCATCAGGTCTGTGATGCATATAAACTTCAGCCTTGCATATTCAGCCATGCATATGAATGGAGAGGTGGGAGGCAGCAATAAGGATGGGGGTGAACTGACAAGGGATACGCGGATCAGATGAATTTGTGCTAGGAGGTTCTTGAACTGGTAATGCACCCTAGGCAATATAGGCATAATTATTTGCAGGCATCTATGTTGCTCTGCTGTTGTCAGTAGAAAACAATTACCCAACCCCTTCTTTTTTTATGGGTTCAACCTTGGCCTTGGGGCTAATCCACATAAGTGCCTAGACTTGCAGGAAGAGATAACTAGCCTTCAGGCTTACCACAGACCCACCATTGGGTCTGACTGTCCATTTCCAATACGGGGGCCAAGTCCACAGCAACTCTTTATAGAGCTGTTTGCAGAGAGCATTCTAATTCTAGTCTAGAACCTATATAACCACAAAAATTCAGGACCTATCTGTCTAATGGCCATTCACTGATCACTTCAAACCTAATGAAGGCAGCAGAATTCAGATACAACACTCTACCTGGTCAGCAGCAGTGGAATGTCATTATTTACATGGTCATCTTAGTGCAGTCCAAGAACCAGCAGTATATTTCCCAGAATGAGCTACATAGCTGCCTTGCAGAGGGCATATCTCATTATTTTCCCATAAGGCAGAATAACAAAAAGACTCTGAGACGTGTAGAGTGTGAATTATCTTAGTTGATAAAGAAAACAGAAGACCTAATCTTAGTTAACAAACCCAACATTTTAAGAGGGGGAATTGGCCCAGGAAATGTTACAAGGACTGTGCTTGGAGCACAAGGCTATTTGGCCAATGAAACATGCGTTTTCAAGGCAGTGGCATCCTCCTTTGGTGCCGTATTTAACGAGGATGGCAATCCCAGGGTCGCTGTTTTCTCTTCCCTCATTTTACAAATGAGCTTGCTTTTGGCTGTTAGGTTCAAGGACTAAAATCCTGATCTTGCCCATGCTGCCCCCTGCTGGTATTCAGGAGGCAATTCAAATGGGGGCTGGTGAATGCCAGAGATAGAGCCTAATTATGCTATATTGCTGGGAAGAATGTGCTATTGCTGTCTAAGTCTGAAAAGTAAGGGCTGATGGAAGAGAACTTTAAAGGCTAGACTGCTTCACGCTGATGTGCCTCTTGCTCATTCTGACCTGTTTATTTAAAAATTAGGAAGTAAATGTAAAGGTGTGAAATAGGGAACATTGTCCAATCAAGCTGAAAAGAAATATAACCGCTGTTTCCAAGTGCTTGCGTAGCAAAGAAGGGAACTGAAAAAGCTCAAAGACAGACCAAAAGGATGTTCATGTGCAGTGTTGAAAGAAATCACAATTTTCAAAATGATTAGACTTAATTTGTATTGACTCCTCATGGACTGACAAAAATTAGAGAGTTTCATAGAGTCAAGTTTTCTCCCCACAACCTTGCACTGAATAATGGTCCTGTTCTAGTCCTGGAATTTGTGCCA